GGGGGGGGAGACAAACAAAAACCAAAAAGAGAGAAAGACGCAAAAGAAGATAAAAACCGAGTCAGTGTTATTCTTAAACGCAACACATTAAAAATGTTATACAACGATGTAACAGCTTCACAGTGTTTATGAAAAGCCCTATTGGCTTCCGTTTATCACGGTAACTGTTTTTGTTTTTAGTTTTAGTAAGTGTTTTATGGCACTTCTTATAAGTGCCGAAGATTAGAGATGTTACTTGAGAGTAAGAAACCAAAAAAAGGAGGAAAAGAGATCAGGACGAAAGATGCTTCAGAGGAAAGGAGAAAAGCACACAAAAGCACCTGCCAACCACCCGCAGAGAGCCTTGAAAATTTCCTAGACAATAAAACACTCAAGAATGCGGTATAAGGGATCTGAAACAAAGCTCATCCCCAAAGCAGTCCAGTCGAGCGTGGTGCCAATCTATTCCGGTGATCAAATGTTCCTTTTTTTGGGGGTCCTAGCTTGGACTCCACTTCGCTACCTCAGAATTACAAAGTGCTATCTGACATTTTTTGCAGTTTAAAGTTACTAAGACCATGAAGTCAGAAATCAAATGATCAGTCTGCTCTATCAAAATTGTAAAATTATTCGAGTTGTTATCAAGATAGGCCTATTCAATAATTGCAAAAAGCTTGACATGTGAGACTCAAACTGTTTGACGGCCAATTTCTCAAAACTAGGTACTTCATAAGCTTTTAACGTTATTTTTCATTATAGTTGTTCTGTTCCTATGTCTGGATGAAAATAGTCTGTGTGTGTGGGCATTAATGTATATTGCATGAGAAGAAACGAAGTAGTAAGAAAGGTTTTTGAAAAATGGGTAATTCCAATGTAAAGCTGATTGAGCTACTTTGCTGAAAATGCGCTTTATAAATGTTATATATTATGATTATTATTATTATTACTGAGGAGACAGAACTTTGTAATTTTGAGGTAGAGACTTGTCATCAAAGCAAAAATTTTGTAGTTCTGTTTTCTTTTCAGTCTCTACCTTAAACCAAAGATTTATTTACGTCTTTATTTGCAGCTACCAACTGGGACAGAAAGCCCATTTTTCTAGCCTCCCCTCTCAAGAGCAGCTCTCATAAACTTTGCTCCTTGTTTTCTAAACTCCACCCCTACCACCCACTCCCAAACCAACCATATCAATCTGTGTTATCTTTCAGAGCTGACTCTGAAGTAGAGTTTAAAAAAAAATGATAACCTTGCTGATGACCAACTGTCCTTTTCCCACTGTACGACTTTCCTCATACATATGTCTGTGTAAAAAATGTTCAGAGACAGCGAAGGACAAACATTCCCAGGAAAAACAAATTATCTTTTTACAAAAGGATCTGTTGCAGGCCAAGCTGTCAGGCAAGAAAAAAAAAGGATAGAAAATTGGAAATTTCTGAATTGCAGAAATATTTGAAAAAAAAAGAAGAAAGTTCGCTTACAATGTAATAGGAATCATTGGAAGGATGAGGTTACTGTCCATATAATAGATGTCGAGACAACATGACAAAATTTCCACATTTAATGGTCAAGACAATAGCATCACGGTAAAGAAAAAGAAGGAGCAGACAACACTGAAGCCCCGATTAACATCCCACTGAATGATGTAGCCAATGAAAACCCGACATTTGAACCAGACTAAGAGATGGAAGCAGGCTCACTCACCTTTGTTCATCCCCACTTCATAACACCGTCGTAACCGGCAAGCTTGGCAGCTTTTCCTTCTGTGTTTGTCTATGGTACAAGTATTGGTGGCGGGGCAGATATAGTCCACTGGCCCTGTAGAGCAAACAAACAGAAACAGGATGTCAGCAAATAAACGACACAACTAGCCGCGGCACTACAAAACTTTTGATTAAAAATGGTACAAGCAATTTTGGAAGGGGGTAATTTTGGGAAAGAAATCAGAATCTGCTTTCTTCTGTGTACCATCAAAGCAGTCGAGAGAACAGATTAGGTAGACACGGACAATGAAAAGGAATAAAAGGAACAGACTGCACTAAAGTGCCTACCACCACCCAACTCTTGACTATCAAAGTAGAAGAATAATTAACCCCACATAAAACAATATGCTAGCAGACCATCTCAGAGTCATTAACAGTGGAAACATTTTCTCACAGAATACACAGAATCCGCCATAATTGGTCTCATTGGCCATAGCTGAAGGAATAAACATTTTTAACCGTTAAAATCTTCTGTTTCACTGAGAAATATTTTCCTCTATGGATGCACTGGACAGAATCAGACATTGGCGGGCAAACTATCATTATCAGCAGAATACAGGGAAACAAAACTTTTCTGTACCAACTGGGTGGCTTAACAGGATGGCGGCATAGACGTGAATACATACCCTGTATACTCCGTTTGAAGAAGGCCTTGCAGCCCTCACAGGACCACACGCCATAATGAAAGCCCGAGGCATTGTCACTGCACACCTGGCACAGTTTTGCTTGAATGCTACTCCCAGGAACTGAAACACCATAAAGCAAATGGACCTTAGTATTCTTTCCATTTTTAAAAAGTTCAGCGCACTACTAGAAACACTCACTATTTCAACATTTGGTTCTTACATAGGATTTTTTAAAAATAAGGCAGGAAAGAAGACAGACAAGATACGTCAAAATAGACATCACCCGTACACATGTGAGGGCAACAGTTTATGAGTACTTATTCCATCCTTAAAAGTGCAACCCTGCCAGCTGCAGTTCAGACAGTCTATATATACTTGACACCCCCCCCCCCAACAATCTCATAAAAAACGTAATGTAATATAGCAACATAATCCCATGATATACTGATTATCCCAATAAATGTTTATTATCAAACTCACTGCCATAGTAAAAACATAGCATACACAGAATATCACAGAAGACATATGTTGTATATTGACAGTCTCAGTAAATGTCTATTTCACACTGTTTAGCCCATCAAATGGTTCATCATATACAGACAGCCAGTTTACACATATCACACAGTGAATTCTACTGACAGTAAGCCTATGTCTCCTTATGCTCCATGCGACATTCAGTCATACGCAACAGTAGCTAGTGATTAGTCGCGAGGTGTGTATCCTTATGCACGACCACATTGTGTCAAAATTTTCAGTCGCGAGCGACAAAACTGTCTTCTCATGTGCGACGCGACATTTAGTCGCGGGCGACTGGCAAAGCCCTCACGCGACTGGCAATTCACAAAAGAGAGACAGTGGCAAATTTAAAAGTCAAGATGGACAAGGAAGTACAAAGTCCATCAGATGGAAGTTCTACGAGCCGCAGACATTTTTAATTCCGTACTTGGCCATTCCCGTGCAAGTCTTCCGCCTCCTCCTCCTCTTCCTCCTCCTACTCCTCCTCCTCCTGCTGTTCGTTAAAAAAACAACAAAACAACAAGATTAGATTCACAAAACTTGCATTGAGTCGAATTGAAGATGAACATACTACACACACAAACACACCACATCACACACGGCGTTTCAACTGTCACTCCTTGGCTAGGTATTTTGACCAATGGTGATGTTCTAAACCTGGCACACCCCCAGTCTGTCGCATGCGACGAGACCCTTGATTGCAACATGAACCGATCACAGACGACGGTCGCGTGCGACTAAATGCCGTGTCACATATAAAGAGACGGTTTCTTTATAATCATACTTGATTGATTTTAGAGCGGCAATGACCACACACGACGCCGCGTCGCGCATAAGGAGACAAGCTCTAAGAGGGAATGTATTTTATTTCTTGACTCACGGGACAAGTACATCAAATACTTATTGCTTCTGCCCGCAGTTCAAGTATGATGCTTGCAATGATAATTGCATAAACAATGATTTTCATGTAAAGGATACTCCAGTGGTTTAACTGACAAAGAATGTCGAACAACGTTCATGACATCAATTTTAGGTGGGTATCTATTGGGGAGTGTCATTGAGTAAGAAATTTTATCCCTCCTCTAAAATCAAGACTGTGTACTGACCTTTAATGTAGGGTTTATGAATCTATTTTGTATGGGTGATATCATATTATGTGTTATTTACCCATATCCAGCATGAGATACAACTTTACAAAAGAAATTATGTATACATGCAGTATGAAGTGTTGCCGACTATGCAAGTCACTGTGACGCATTTTTCACATGGGATATAGGAAGACTTCTTAGAACATTATTTAACTGAAAACAAAATAGGGCATTGGCACAATAAATGTTAAGTCGGGAATAAAATTAAATAACAAACAAAAATTCAGGGAAATCCCATTTCTTGTACAACTGGAACAAGTAGCCCATGTAAAAAACGGGGTTCTGATCATGTAGGACCCCCCCAAAAACAAAAACAAAAAGAATTAGAAAAACAGTGACCATTCAAATCACCCCCCCCCCCCTGAAAGTTTGAACTAATCAGTTCCTATCTCACGAATGTATTAATACTAACACACCTACAACACAATCATATATGCAGACAAACGTTCAAATTGCAGACAATGATAAGGTACATTTCACAACAAATTTTTGCTTACTAACAACATGCTTTAAATAGCCAGACAAAAGTAGACACCACAAAAGAAACTTTTGTGTCTGTCTGTACGCAGTCTTCTTTACTAAAAAAAATAATTCTATAACAAAGCTCAAATCTGTTAGTTCCCAGCCAATCATTTTTGGAGCATTTTTTTTTCTTAATCTCAATGTTTAGTCTAGCAATCCGTGGCGCATGTCGAGGCCATGGATCAGTGTTGTAGGAAGCTTCCTTTTTTTTTTTTTTGGCCTCTAAGACATGTCAGGAGCAATCTTTCTCTTTCTGTTCTCTTCTCCATCATTTGCAGGTCTTTACATCTTCCAAACACTAACTTTCTGCAGACAGGACCGCAACGTGCAAGTTCCCTGCATCTTACTTTTAACTCATCAGACTTCTAAAAAACTAAAGTTGCTGGTTGGTCAAGATAAAGAATTGAATAAGGTAGGAGAATCTTAAATATTTCTGAAAAACAAAAGAGTATCAGCAGCAGTGAGCTTTCCTTTTTAAAAAAAATTTACCTCAGATAAACAGTACTGACACAATATTAACAATTTATAATCTGGGATGTACGATTTCAATTACAACCATAAAAGGCTTACTGTCTTCCAATAACTGATCCTGAAGGAAAAGGGCATAGTACCCCTAATAACTGCTATATCCTGGATTTCAGATCACACCTCATGCCCTTTGGTTTGAATATATACATGTATATATATAACAACACTGTTGTTCTGCTTGAACTTCACTTCAAAAACATCCATTTTGGAAAACAGTATGTTAATGAGACATCTAGCCAACAATCTTCAAAACTACAGAACAAAAAAAGTTGACCTATTGTTACCCACGGCTTTGGCAAAAGGGTAAAATTCTGCTGTTAGAAACGTGCTCACAAGAGTTCCACCAGGACTTATGTGTCACGAATAGAAGTCGAGATATTTGCGATTGAAGGAAGTGAGGGTCGCTTGGTTTCAGAAATAAAGTTAGCCACAACATGGCCACCAAAGTTTGGTGATTTCCAAAGCTTGAGGGTCCTAGGATACTGAAAATTTACATCTTTTGTGCCTTTAATCAATGTTTTTCAGTATAATCCACACAGAATGTGTTTCTAAATGGACATAAAAGCTGTTGAGCCAAAAAATAGAAAATTCAAGAAAAAAATTGCCCAACGGCTTTTTAAATGCCAGTTTCTTTGATTTCATTATTTCAACGAGCGCCTGATTTCACCATGATGCCTCACATATGAACATAATTTCAGGAGATTACTGGGTGGAAATAAAAGAATGAAATAACATTACAATTGCGGAAACTCACTGTAGCTGATTGTAAAAACCATAAAAGAGAAAACTTTATTTAGGGGAATTTATGGACTTCCAGAAAGGTTGCTTTTTTTTCTTTCTCTTTAAACCTGGATGATTTTTTTTTATACAAGTGTTATACCCCTCTAGACAACTATATGTGTCACACAGAAAGCTATCAGTTCCTCCCCTTAAGAAATGGGCCAATTTATTAACACCCCCTCCCCTCATCCCCATCCAAAAGTTGGATGTTTGTCTGTACCAGAACTCTGTAACCCTTCAGTTTTTGAGAAGCAGTCCCTTTTATACTGATGACAGATTAGTATGCTCACACTGAGAAGCACGTCCCTGGTAGTACTCACCAGCTCCGCCAATCTCCTGCTTCATGTGTGAGGACGGGCTGGCTCCGAGCGTCCCCGGCCCGTGTACATCCATGAGGAAGTTGTGGGGCAGGGTACCCGAGCCCGCCTCAGGTGTGGTGGAGGTGGCTGCCTGCAAGTGAGCAGAGCCTGCCGTGCCCTCCCCGCCCCCGCCCGCACCGCTGAGAGGCAGAACCGGCATGCATGAGCTGGGAGAGACCATCCGGCCCTCCTGCTTGGGGGATTTGCAGTCGGACGGCTCTCTGTGAATGACACAAGGGGGGACAACTGGTCAGCACTGCTGTCTTAGAGAATCTGTGTTCAAGATTTAAGTGTCACAAAACTTTCAAGTTAATGTCATTATAAATTGAAATATAGCTTTGAGTTTCAGTAAAGAAAAGCACATCAGCACAATAATGGTCTTACAGTGCAGGGAAGAAGCAAAAGAGATACACAGAAACAGCAGAGCCAAAAGAAAAGCAGTAGGACCAACCAGTGGCACCCCCCAGCCACCCGAGGCGTCGAAGAGAATCTGTGTTCAAGATTTGAATAACACAGAACTTTCAACCCAGGTCAATGCCATCATAAATTGAAATACAGCAGATCGATACAAAAGACAACACACACACACACACATACACAAACAACCCAGATTAAACTAAAGGCTGACCTCAAGTTGATGAATTGCAAAAATTCTTCAACAACATCAAATAACAGAGCCTTCTAAAAACATCAATAAACCTAATACACATCAGAAATCAATGAATCGCGATGAAACAACAAAAAGCATTAAAGAGTGCTGATTGGGCCATCCAATCATCTGTACTGTAACTCCTGAAAACTTCTAGTGGAAGGCATCTCATTTATTAAAACAGATGGTAAAGAAGGTTGTGTACAGTGCAGTCACATGTGAGCAGAACAATCACTCTCGCAGCTCTGATGCAGTCTGTCGTATTCCGACATATGACGGAGGAAACGGACCACAACAAAATAAAAATTGTTCATGACACAGCCAAAGAGACAAAATGATCAATAATTTATTATGGAAAGGCAGACAAGAGAGCTACTAGCATAATGGTGAGGCTCAGTCTCATAACAGAAATAAACTGACAGGATGCTATTAAATAAAGAATATGACTGGTGTCACAGCCAATAGTCTTTATTAGAAGCAATAATTACACACAAGAACATGACAAGCAATAGCAAGCAGTACCAAAAAAGGAAAGACAAAAACAGTATCAGTAAAGAAGAAAAATCATTCAACCCCCCCACCCCCCCTCCCCCCCAAGTCTGTCGTGGGTATAAGCTTAAAGCAGAAGAGGAACTGACTTCAATTTCAATTTTTTTGGTGGGTCACGAACAAATTATGATAAAAGTGACTCTAAGAAGATGAAGAAGAGAAGAAAAAACTGTTCAAATCAGAGCACCAACCAACCACCCGTAAAAAGGAAATAAGTAGATTGAATATGAAAAAACATCTTTTAAAATGTCTTTGCTTCCTATGAACCGGAATTTTTTTTTTAAAGAACAAAAGATATAGCTGACATTGGGAATTCCTGGGAGCTTCCCCGTATTCTCCAAGAACAAATACTAAATTGTGCTAAAATTGCTACATCAATATGAACATGAAGCTTAATTGAGTAAAGTTATTGACAGGCCAATCACACAGATTTCCTACACAGTAACAAGTTAATAGGAGAAGGCAGAAAAGCAAACACAACAAAAAAATCCGAGGAAGTAAGATGTTCTTGTGGAATTGCACAATTACGGGCGGGGTACGATTAATTTTGCGGTTCTCTCGGGCGACACATTTTATGAGTCCAGGGGAGGTCCATGATAACGGTGACCATTTGTCATCTCACAGAGAAAAAGAGGACATGAAAGTAGACGACAGAACATTATCAAAGAGCAGGAAAGGATGGGAAAATAGAATATTTTTTTAAGAGAATAGAATTTTCTGTCGCTGTCAGGTTTCAAACCCGCAACCTATTGAATGAGAGGTGAACACGGTACCTTTAGACCACGGGAGCCCCCCTTTTCTTCTCCAAACACTCTCACAAAATGCATTTACAAACATCCTCAAAATGATGGCTGTGTGGGATGGAAAAGGCAGAGAGGCAGAGTGTCCCTTCAAGCCAAATAGAGAAGTATTGTGATAAAGCAAGAAATGCGCAGAGGCAGAATTTAAAAGGAAAGAGGCAAGACTCACCATGAAAATCATTATAGTCCTGCCCTCAACATCCCAGCACATAATTCTAAACGGTACCTTAAATACAATGTAAAAGTCAATATTTAAAAGAATAATAGTCGATGCGCCAAAGCCCGAAATATTCACCCTACCCCACAAAAAATATGTTCAATTATGAATTCGCAAATGCAAATACAGTACCATATTCCAGCAAGCAAGTAGCTTCTGCAGTGTATATTCATATGCACAAGAATATGAGACACATAAACGAAGTTGCTTTTGATATAGGAATAGCTCAAGACTACGCCACAGAAAAATTTCAGAAAATTAAAGAAAAAAAACCCATTCCTGTAACACAGAAAAGGAAGACTTTACTTCTTATTTTGTACAAAAATCGCCCTCATAATTCTATAATCTCTTTGCACTGTAACAAGCTACAACTTAACACTAAGTGTGTGAGGCAAAGAGAAACATACTGTCATACTATTATGGTAACTTAGAGCTAAGAGAAAAAAGCAAAGATATGTAGAACTGAAGCAACAGACAGTATGGCACAAAGAATAACCAATGGCACCCTTAAACCCTTTTTTTGTGGAAGTTCTTAGTAAAAGCTTTACGGCACTTGAAGTACAATAAATCATATATGTGCCAAAGAACAGAGTTGTTACTGTAGAGTAACATACAAATAAAAGAAGGAGAGACACAGGTGATTAATCTTTGATTGGAAAGAAGGAGCAAAGCACACCAAACCACCCATCTTTGACCATTTTTCAACGTAAACATTCTTTAAAAAAGTGTAACATCTGGCACGGAAACAGGTTATACTAAATTTAAGGTTTAAGTTAAAGGGAAGTACATCAGTTTGACATCAGTCATTTTGTGTTGGGAAAAAGCTAGAGGCGAACAGAAATAACAGTGAAACACTCAAGAAGTTAGCTCTATCGGTGGCACCCTCAAACTATCTCCCACGGTATGGTTGTGAATAAATTCTAAATATTAAGAAAATACATGGTAATGGTAAACTGGGAAAAAAAATTCCTTTTCAATGCAAGGGAGTCTAATGTGTATAAATTTAATAAAACGGCTCATGGTCAACAATAACATACATGCTCACTGAAATTTATAAAAACGCCTTCGTGTCCCTTTCTTTTTCTCACACATCTGTCTGCCTGCACATCCCCCCCCCCAATCATGTGTACACACTTTTCTCAAGTACATTAGCAAATTGAACAGAGCAAACAGGGCAACAACAGCGTACATAATCATAAAAACTGGCAATGTGCACCCACAAAGTGAATTCTAGACTGTCAGACTGGTTCAATAAACCTGACAGGATCAGAATAAAGTAGAGGGAGGAAAATGTGTCTAGACTTTCAAGAATGTCCGTACACTATTGATCCTGGACAGTGCAGAAATATTCTCACTTCATCCAGCATCATATTTGATTTGGAATATTTTACCCAATTCATACTGTTCCCCCTTTACAAGAATGAATATTTACACAATTTTATACATTTATTACAGGTGAAAAGCATGAACCCCAGACAAAGCACAGATTACATTCATAAGAATTCCTTTTTTTTAAAAAAATGGAATTTGGCAGTTTTATCTGAGTCAGAGAGAAGCACATTGACAGTATAACAAGAAGATAAGAGCTGGGAAAAGACAAGACAGCTAAACACAGCTGGAATTAAAAAGAAGAAGACAGACTCAAAAGCGATGATTTCCAATCCCCAAAAATGGATGACATGGATTTAGACAGTTGTAGTTTTGGCAAGTAAGCAGGATAACGGAGACATGAGGAGCAAATTTGAATTAAAATATTGATACTATAACACCAAAAAAAATAATAGAAATGTACCACACAAGAACCCCCTACCAACCACAGCATGGACAGACTAAAAAAGGACACATTTTGTGATAAAACAGTTCACAACAACCCCTGAGCTGAAGAAAAGCTCAAAATAATGAAGTCCAAACAGTGACAGAGAACTTTAGAGAAACCAAAATGAAAGACAGAAATAAAAAAGGCCACTAGCAATTTACAGCCAGTCATCCTGATAAGGGGCTGCATTTTGCCAGGAACAGATTAGGACAATAGAAAATACTAGAATGGACGGCACAAGGGGGTAGGAGGATTATGGTGTCCATCAATTCCCAACAGAAATAGCTTACAGGAAAGAAAAAATGCAACAAAACCCCCCCCAAAAAAACTGTTAACCACCAAAACCCACTGACACAGTAGAACATCACAAAAAATCTGCTGGAACCTTTCAAAACCAGACATGATGCAAGCAGCAATACCAATAATATTAAATGTGCACTTCGCATTTTGCTGATACACTAAGCTAGATTAATTTGAAACTATACAGCTAGAAATTTGCTCAAAAGTTGTTCTCCAAAAACAACTGAGAACCTATTGCCAGTTCCATTTACGAATTCCACTGGCTGAAAGGAATTGAGAAGTATCACAGGATTAAAGAAACAAGAGTCACTTTTGATGACATACATCAAATAATGACAGGAAAGACAGAAAAAGAGACAGTATAATTTCCCAGTCATTCAAATGGAAAAGTGTCAGGACAAAGTCTAAAATTTCGTGTAGTCACCGAATTGTTCTGTGGTCATATTTCCGAGCTTCAGAAGCAATCTTCGACTCGGGAGACAGATGCCAACGCGTATTTCTTTGTACAAGTCTGGCTTTAATGCATTCACATTTTCTGTCTAGACAGGGCTCCCCCCCAAGCCATCTCCTTATACAAGCAATCAATAACTGCAACACTGTGTACTAAAGGCCCACAGGAGCACTACTCTGGCTGCATCTAGAGGATGGGGGGGAAAGAGGGGAGAGAAGGGGAACAGGGCCAATGAGCCAAGCTTCAGCACACCCATGAGAGATATAGGGAAGACAAGTGTGTAAGAATAAGTGCAGAAGTACAAACACAATAGCCGTCATATACTGTAAGAGGTACAAAACAACCAAAAACCAGTAATGCCACAATATCATTAAGTGCCAGATCTGAAACAGTTATTAT